AGACTTGGCTATGAAATTGTAGGAATTAATTATTAAAGTTATTAAAAATATTTATTTTCCTTTTCTCTTTAATAAATATATCAAAAAAAGACAAATATCAAAAAAAAATATGACACATGGCATCTTCTCATGATTTGGTTTAGAAAAACCTTAAATATAAGATTAGCAAAACATTAAATTTTAAAATTTTAAACTATTTGAAAAAAAAAATTGACGGTAATAAACGGTATATCATTCGTTTACATTTTTATGCTTTGACAACATGATTCCGTTATATTTACCATTCATATTATTTGTTAAATATTTTCATATTTTAAATAAAATGATTATGCTATATACTATAAACGTGTTAAAAATATTTTAAAATAAAAAATATTAATTTACTAAGACTTTATACATTTTACTAATACAAAATTATCAAATTTAACTCGTTCACATATTCAATCATTCGATCATTCCGTAACTTTAAACGTCAAATGCGAAAATTATCTTTCTAAAAACAAAATATGAAAAATTATCATCAAAAAGCGATTAATTAAAAAAAAAATTTTAAAAAATGTCACTTTTTAAGTTTCACTTTACAAAAATGTCACACTTTTGAAATCTNTACAAAAATGTCACTTTTTCAAAATTATTTTTTTTTATATTATTTATGTTTGGGTTAATTATGTTTTATTAGGATTTAGTTTTGAGTGTTTATGGGATTTTAGGTGTCAAAACATTTTTTAGGTTTTATAAATCTATAATTAATGACATTTTTGTAATTAAACACTTTTAAATGGTATTCTTGTAAACATGTATAGCTTTTAATTGCCCAAATAAAAAAGTATAAAGCGGACGCTACAATTGAACCCGATTGGAGGCTTAAAAGTTAAAAGCAAAAAAAAGCATATGATGGATTTCAAATTTTCAATTATTCCGAGTTATCATCACAAAATAATTAAATTTCCTTATTTTAACGTCGGGAAATTAATTAAAATATATTTGAAAATTGATTTTTTTTTTTATAACAGTCGAATCGTACGGCAGATATTTGTTGCCCTTCTTCTTCTTATATCATCCGCTTTCACTTGAGCAATCTCTGAGAGATTCTAAACCCTAA